AAGTAACGATCGTAAACCGCTTACTTTTATTTTTTTTTCCAAAAGATAAGTAGATAAAATCATTGGATATGTTTCTGAGCATCTGAAATGGAATTAGAAAGATATCGTTAAGGTGTCCATTTTTTTTATAACGATAAAACGTCAGTAATCGCGATAATTTAAAAACTCAAAACCAAATTTTTTAACACAACACGCGATAACTCAAGAACCACTTTAGATATTGAAACTTCTTTTTATTTTTAAATTTCGGATCTTTTACAAGATATTTAGATAAGAAAAATTCGATATGTTTGTTTTTTTTCATTCAAAAATTAAAAAAAAAACATCCATTTACTTTTAGTGCATAGTAATTTTCAGCAATCGTGTAACTTTTTTATTTATAAAGATTTTCACATACTATCTGAAAAGAAAATAAGCAGAAATATTAAGAAAGTTTTTGAAAAAAAACTACATTCAATTTCTAATGGATAATGGAGATATCGATTTTTGAATTGAGAGTTCTAATAGCGCGACCACTGTCGAATAACAACTCAATTCCACTTATTTTTACTTGTTTTTACTAGCACCAGTCTGTGGGAGCACTTGTCTTGCTAGCACAGACCGGTGCTGGCAAGACGACTTCAAGTTTTTAGAGTAAAGTGCCCGAAAAAGCCCACTATGTTGGAGCGAAACGTCGCATAAAAAAAAGTTTTCCATCTTTCAATAATTATAAAACCTCATGCCCAAGAAAGAAAAAAACTATATAGATATAAACTAATGGTTAAAGAAAAGAAAAAACAATTACACTATTCTATTCAGAGTGTCATTATCTATGGTTATATACAGGGTGTTTCAAAACAAATGCGAAAAACTTCAGCAGGCGATTTCTTGTTCAAAATAAAGGGTAGTTTGCTTCATAAACGTTGGGTCAAAAGTCAACCATTAGGGAGATATCGCGGTACAAAGATGGCGGAAAAATAATGTTTTTATTTTTTATCTTGAAAACGAAAAGAGATAGACTAATGGAATTTTATGGGAGCATTTCTGTTATGAAAACACACTTTCTTGTAATTTTTCACTTTTTAAAATGAGTGGAAGGGGTTGAAATAAACTACCCCTATCATTCTTGTTATCGAAATTTAAAGAAATATCTTATCAAACACATGCAAAAAAATTAATTTGGATAGCTTGGTTTGTTTAGAAACTTTTTTATCTCTTGTGTTTTTTTGATAAAACTCACCGATTTGAAATTAAAAAATAAAAAGTAAAGCATTACATGTCAGGACAAAAGACATTTTTAGATAAAGAATCTAGTGGGCTGCTCTAATTTTTTTAGGAAAAAATCTAGTGGGCCGCTGTCACTTTTTAGGTTGTTTCTAATATTATTTTATTGACATTACTCTACTGCAATACATTATTATCTAGATTCTTATTATTATCGCTATTATCATTAGATTCTTTATCTAAAAATGTTTTTTTATCCTGACATGTAATGCTTTACATTTTATTTTTTAATTTCAAATCGGCGAGTTTTATCAAAGAAACACAAGAGATAAAAAAGTTTCTAAATAAACCAAGCTATCTAAATTAATTTTTTTGCATGTGTTTGATAAGATTTTTTTTAAATTTCGTTAACAAGAATTATAAGGGTAGTTTATTTCAACCCCTTCCACTCATTTTAAAAAAGTGAAAAAATTACCAGAAAGTATGTTTTCATAACAGTAATGCTTCCATAAAATTTCATTAGTCTATCGTTTTTCGTTTTCAAGATAAAAAATAAAAACATTATTTTTCCGCCATTTTTGTACCGCGATATCTCCCTAATGGTTGACTTTCGACCCAATGTTTATAAAGCAAACTACCCTTTATTTTGAACAAGGAATCACCCCCTCAAGTTTTTCGCATTTGTTTTGAAACACCCTGTATATATAAGAATATACCGAGGGTGCTATTTAAAAATCTAAAGTTGCAGTCATTTTCGGTGAAATAGGAAGTGACCAAAAACAATTGAATACGCCAATCAATCCTAATTTATGTCATATATACTAACATACCAAATCTCGTTATTCTATCTAAAAAAATAAAAAAGTTATAGGGGTGAGTCACTTTTGAGGCGCACCCGGTATATGGGTCTTCTACTTTCTTTGTACTGGTATAGTCGTGTCTGAATGTGTTTTGTTTTTTTGGTTCTTACATTATCAGCATGGGAGTGTTTGTTTTGACTTAAAACAGTATAAGTTGAAAATGACAACTGGAAATTCAAGGTAAGAAAAAATCGAGGTAAATCAAAGGAGACTTTTTTCTTTAACCGTAACTAAACTTATTTTCTTTTATTTTAGAAAAGACAAAACGACCTACCCTCGTACGCTCTCGGAAATGATCTACTAACTAAAACCCATTTAAACCGTTGCCGAAATGAATTTACGTGCAGCGACAGTTTAAAAACAAATTTTCCTCGATGCGTCGTCGCTCGGTGAAAAACTGGCCATCAACTGGTACGGCTGCGGCAACAGGAACGTTCCACTGCGAGCGAATGAATTTTCCAGCCAACGATTTATTAATCACGGGCGGGATCTTTTACCGCTCTCGTTCGCCTCCAGCACGTATTTCGGCCACAGATTATATTTTTTTCGTGTTTACACACATGGCAGGTTATAATATGTCGAGCGAATGAAAAAAGGAAATGCTTACCTGAATCTATTTAGTTGATTTAGGTCGGCATATAAAAATATTTTGTTTCTTTTACTGTCTTTTGATGCTTTCTTTTTTAGACAGATGTCACTTGTTTTGTCATTATTCAATTCATTATTCGAATTCTCAGAATGTTGTTTCTTAAAATAAAATTTTAATCAATCACAATTGTTTACCTCCATCATTTACCGGATTAATGATACAGAAATTACAGCTCAATTACAAATAATTCATTATTTATAGTGATTTACTGTAATTTTATTTAATTATACGAATATGTATATGAAAATGCGAGTTACTAACTCTAAATTCTAATGAGGAAGATGCATATATTTTATTTTTCGCCAGAAACTGTTCAATTTATTAGAATAAATATGTGTAAATGCAAAAAATCTTTTTTCTTGAAAGCAGTACCACAATTTTATAAAACGAGCCATTAAAATACTGTGGATAACACAAACGACGCCTCGCGAATTGAAACGATATTCTATTGGTCTGACGTCACCCGCCGTTCTCGTCGACGCGCGATGGCCAGTAGCAGCCAGACGTGTTCCGTTTATGTACGTATTTAGGTGGCGTACTAAGACATTTTTGTTGCTTTTAGCGTTGATTGAAGGAGCTTTTTATGCTTTTTTGTGCAGTTATTATTTGTATGTTCTGAGAATTTTTTAAGTAATGGCAGATTTCGGGTTTGTAAAAGCACAATCAGATAACTTGCCAAAAGCCGATGCTTTTATGTTGGCTGCTTTTATAAATACAAATTCTCAATTTATTGGTGCTGAATTACGAGGAAAAAAACAGAGAGGTATGTAACATTTATTCTTTGTAGTACTAAGGCATATTTAAGTATAAGTAGGTACCTACTGTTACGAACTTTTATATAGTTATAAATTAATGTTATAAACTTATTTTTCAGATCAGGTAGGGAGACGTATGGAGATAATGCTGTAGGTTATATCCTTATTATTATTATTTTTTGTTTTATGCCATTTTTTAGTAAATGACGTCTATAAATTGACCTTGGCAAAATTATCATTGATTGTCATTACCCAACCGTCTTTGAAGCCGTTTTTTTTTCGAGCACACAATATCATCTGTTCATTTCAAAATAAATACAATAATAATAAACTTTCCTAAGTAGAGAACCGATATTTATTAATAAAATATTCAATAATTTTCTCATTTGATACACTTTAATTGTAAATCAATAAAAATGTAATTTCCGTTGTATGAGTATGCATTTTTAGCAAGCAGTTTATAAATTTAAAAATATTTCCAACAATCAAGAACGGTAATTAATAACGTCTGCCTTCTCCTGTTCATAACTCTTTATCTCTTTATATTCATTATTTATATAAAAAAAAAAACTTAAATTACGCCATTGTAACTTGAATAAAGTCATTAATTCTTACTATTCTTCCTGCATCTTAATGCTAATCCATTAAATATATTGTAATTATAATTAACACTTAAAAATATCATTTTACATAACTTTCACAAGAGACATTATTAAGGAAATTCATTTTCAGATGTTTAAGATGGGATTTAAAATATTTAAAGCCCAAAGCTATATTTGTAGAATGTGTTATAACGCCACCCTGGGTGAAAAAGTTTATAATGAGAACTCAGATTCACCAGGTTCCGTTACAAATAGGTTCCAGCTAGCTCAGTAAATAATTAAGTAAAATATATATGCACAGAACAAGAGATATCAAAAGGGAGGTGTATGGAAAAAGTGTACTGATTGAAAAGTCCAAAATGTACTGGATTCGTTTAATAAATATTAAATTTAAAGTTAAAACAAATTGCCAAGATCTATCATAAAATGTAGCAAATATTTAAATACGAAATAATGAAATATATATATATATATACTAGTAAAAATGAACTATCCGTAAAATAAATTAAATCATGAATAGTATCACAAAATATTGTTGTGACTAAACTGTGAACAACCCTGGTACGTATTTGTGATTATGATTAAATGTCTATAAAGAATAAAATGAAATTTAAATGTAAAAATCCCCTAGTATACCAAGTTCACACACGATCGTATATTTAATGTAATAAATTTTAATCAATCATAAACGCAATAAAATAAGAGATGATTAAGGTCTTATCTGTCATCCAGTGGTCGTTCCAGTCAGTCCATGAGAAAATCCAGATTGCCGGTCTTCAGTGTCACAGTGGCATTCCTCGTCACAGTGGCATTCACGTCACAATGACATTAGTTGCAGTACCAATCCAGTACAAAAAAAATGATAAAAATCTTAAGCTAAACCGTAATCATCACTAAGAGCCAAGGAACAAGAACCCTAAAATGTGATCTATTTTAGTGACACGTTCTAGTTTGGACATAGTAAAATACCTTTCCACCATGCGGACCTTCCAAGACAAGATGGCGTCTCAACGCATGTTACTCCATGGAAAAGGGTTCCTTAACTGTCCTCGTACTCATCCCAGTACGTCCACGCACCCATCTACAACTCCTGTCCTCTAAAATAAATAGTTGTAGAAGACAGTGGCGTGTCGTATAGGGGGCCAGGGGGGGCGAACGCCCCCTCCGCCCCTATGAGCTTAGCGCCTCTGGCGCCCTTTGGAGAAAAAATAGAAAAACTAAATTTAACGCAAAAAGAAACGGTGCCCTACCGTGCCCTTAACTCTTCAAGATAAAAAAATGACGTATATATTTCTCACATTTTATTTTTGTTTTTTTAATGTTTACTTATATTTAATAATTTAAATCTCTAATGAAGTAGGCGTATACGTACGAAAGTTTTCATATGGGTAGGAAACTACGCTAACGCTAGACCATTGTCTATAAATAAAAATACAATGGCTAGACATAACGTTGCGCCGGTGCCGCCAAAGAAGAAGACGAAAGCAGTCGCGATGGAAATATATTCGAGGAATCACCGACCGAAATATAATCGATTATAATGAAGTTCTGAATAAAATTAATATATTGTCCAATCACTTGCAAAAGGTTAATATTAACTTATGTAACAGCTGCTCATATGATTACTGCGGTAACTAAAGATCTCAAATCATTAAGAAGTGAAAGATATTTTGAAAATTTTAAAAAACAGGCTACTATTTTGGCAAATAAATGCAATACGTCAACATCATTTTCCACAAAAAGACAAAGAAGAATAAAAAAAAATCATGATGAAATACAGAATGATTACCTACATCAAAATTCTGAAGATAATTTCAAGATATCAGTGCTTTATGGTACTTTAGACATTTTAACTGGTACTCTAGAGAATCGATTTGAAGACTTCCTTAATATATGCCAAAAAAAAATAATTGTTTATTGGATATGGACATCAATGATGACAATTTAAAATGTCTTATACTGTACCAAGCGGATGTTAAACCTTTTTAGTTGACGAATATAAACATTTTTGCAGTCTATTAGAAGAAATTAATGCTGATGACAACAAACTTGCACCTGACTGACCTGACGAATATTTATCATTTTTAATTTCCAATGACCTAGAGTCTTCATATCCATCTTTATGTGCATTACTGAGGATTTTTTACACTATAGCCGATAGCCACCAACAATGCTGGTGCAGAACGATCTTTCAGTAGGTTAAGAAGAATTAATAATTACCAGAGGTGCACCAGCACACAAGATAGAACCAATTATTTATCACTTCTAAGTATTGAAGCAGACACAGCCCAGGATCTAAATATAGACGAAATAATTCATTCTTTTAAATCGGTTAAAACAAGACGCTTGCATCTTTGAAATAACTGTTTTTTATACTAACTTTTTTAATAAACAAATTTATAATTAAAAAAAATAAAAGTTTTCATGTAGTCTTTTAAAAAGGAAGTTTGTAATTTATTTGATCCTTTATTGATCATTGCGCCCCTTAAGGTCTTCGCCCCCTCCGCCCTTTTATCCACGACACGCTACTGGTAGAAGAGAACCTTACACCTAAGAATGTCTCTTACCCAACCAACAAAGATATCCCTTTTCAAGGTTTCCCCGGAATTCCAACTACACAGGCCAAGCTCAATTTCTTGCCAATCGGTCTTCTCGACCCTCAATGAATTCCAAGACCGTAATTCTACTGAACAATCCCAATATGGAACGGCGACCAGCCAAAATTTCACTAGAATTTCTTTTATTTTCGGCAGAGATCAGAAGGCTTCCCTTGCTTTCACCAAGATGGTTCAAAGTCGAAAAAGGACGCGTGTTTGCAAAATCCGCAAAAGACGCTGGACTCCAATATACCAACCCAAAATCCAACACTGGCAACCAGTAAAAGAAAAGACCCAAAATAAAATTTGATGTAAAATTTTATTTAATGCATACGGATTGAGTGAAACATTTTATTACATCATAGTAAAATCATAATAATCCCTATATGAACATAATATCTTCGGAAAATTATTAATACATTTTCCGATCATATATAAAACCGTTTAAAAAGATCGAAAATCCAATTTACAAGATCCATCTGTCAAACTTCAGCGACGGTGTCATACGATCAGCTGACAATTGAAACGTCAGTCTGTAAATCGTAATATAAACAAGATGAAATTTAGGGAAAAATCAACTATAATCAGGTAAAATCAATTTATTACACACAGGAAAAATACATAATAAAATCCTTAACCCATATGTATATTGCAGACCCAACATTCCCACTTGTTGCGTTGAAAACAGACAAAAGATAATCACATCAAGTCTATGTTCAAGAATCCTCCGAAGAAATATGCCAAGAAAATTATCCTAACACAAGCATAAGTCTAAATAAAGAATTAGTAACCACTGTAGAAAGAAAGGTAGGTTTTAAACAGACAAATTGATATTTTATTAATGAGGTTTTATATTACAGTTATCGGGGACAACTCCATCCCAAGAAATTGTTGTGGTGAAGAGATTTAATAGATAAGATATTATTAGAAGTTATATGTACAGTTAAGAAGTAAGCTAATTAAACGTTATTATTCAAGTTATTCAAGAACATTATATAGATCTTAATAATTTAAAATTAATTAAACAAGTCTCAAATTACAGGCAATTAGATGCATATGAAAGCATCAGAATTAATAAATGTAAAGATAGTATGAACAGAGTCAACGGTCCAATTCCTTCAAGTTCTTTGTTCCTACTACTCCAGTGGCGGAAATTAACTGTTACGCTAAGTGGGCTCTGACTCGGTTGGCTAGATTTTGCCATGCCCACTCGGTACATACTGGGCGAGTATATAAACGCTCAACTTGTAGATTGTACTTTAGTTTATAATCATCTGCTGATGATGCTAACATGGTTAGCGAAACGCGCGTCCAGTGTAAAAGTAAAAGTGTTTTGGTGTATTGTTGTGATTTAGTGTAAGTTTATTTTGATGGTGTTGCCATGCGATTTTGGTCATAGCCTACTATCGGCACAACCTACGTGATTTATTACTGTTGTCTTAGAGTGTTACAGAAAAAAATACATTAGAATTAGGAAAAATATAAAATTCCGGATACTTTGTAGACGGACTATATATAAAAACATTTGAATTTTATATATTGCCTAAAATCGAATCGCAGAATGCCTTAATGTTATACTTTGCCGGTAATAATAATAATATAATTATATTGCTTACTCCATCAATATATTAATATTTTTGAAGTGAAACATCTTTACGCGCGTTAGGAATAAAAATTCAAGGCTATGACACACAAGTTAGCATCAGGAAAAGTGGTAACAATCGGAGGTTAGGACGGAACGTCGTAACTCGGGCCCTATGTGAGCTAGGGGACTGAAACTTGGAATGTAGATGGAGCTCAAGGAGCCTCATGATATTTTGAGGACGTTTCGTGCAGTACAAAACCCCATCATCAATGAATCAATCTACAAATCAAAAAATCGTACGATTTAAATGAAATTTGGTATGTCGATAGATTGGACCAAGGCCAACTTACATTCTACAACTACAACCCATACAGCACGTCCAAATGAAATTACGTTTCTACAAGGGAGACACATGAGAAACAAAATAGGTATGTTGAAGTGAACCTAAGTGTTCATCTAGTTCTAACATATACATATGAGATATACGCAGGTTTATATTGATAGAATTGTGTGATACAGTGTTAACTAGTTGTATACCGTATGCACTCAAGATTCTAAAGAGTTTTTTGTAACGTAACAAATAATTATTAAAATGATGAAATCTGACGTCGGTATATGAGACATACAATGTATAAGTCATATTTATGTGTGATACTTCGTATCATAGTTGTGCCTATAGTACACACCTTGTAAAAATGTTACGTATACACATAGTATTAATATCTATATAGACACTTTGTAATAGTGTACTGTTGTGTCTACATTCTAGCATGAAATGAAGGTGTGCGCACGCGCGGATTGCCTCAGCGTAGACACACCGACCAAGTGTATCTTATATGTCCTCTCTCCTTTCTCCTTTCTAGGAGTGGTATGTGTTAGCGGCCATTATTGTTTTATCATTCGGAAGTTCTATATAAATGTTCTGTTTGTGTGTAGTTTAAAAGAGATTTTAAGGTAAGCACAAGTTTTTAATTACCTTGTTACACCTTCCTAAGAGTATTATTAATATTTTAGCAGCGACTCTTCCCTTACTCGATACCCAATTTACCAAATTTTGACTCCAATGAATGAAAACTCCAAATATTCTCGTATAATGATAAAGAGGTTAGCTTTGCAATATATTTTTTTTTAATTCGGAAATAATAAAAATCTAAATGGACCAGAGAAAGAAAGATTTAAACACTTCAAAGAACTTCTTACACTGATATTCGGTAAGTTATTGATGGATCTATATACAGATATGTTTAATATTCAATAATCAGTTTCATTTAAAATTGAGTGAGATTGTTAATCTGAAAATAAAATACAACAAAGTCCAACAGAGTGCTCGATGAATGAGTATGCTAACAAACCAACTGTTTGGAGGGAAAAGAGGAGAAAAAAATGACTAAACGAGGTCGACCAAATCGTGGTGATATACCAGTGTTTACCATTTTAGTATGTTGTTTACTAGGTACTTATATTTTTAATACATTTTGATACAAATTCTGTTCTTTTACAGTGTTTTCTTACTTCTGGTTTCTGCAGCGTAAATAATTATTATTATTGTGTTATTTGCCCTATTGCGTTCCATGATATAAAGAAATATAAGAATTTTATTTTTTAACCACTTAGTCCATTTTATGGAAGAAAAATTGTACATTTAATACAAAACAAAGATGGAACAATTTTAAGGCTACTTCTCTTGAACTTACGATCGAGATACTTTTGGAAAATACAAAGTTTTACCTTCCTAATTTCCGTTCTAAAAAGATATAATTGGTATCATTGAATAAATATTTCTTAAAAAGAACGAAAAGTTAGGCATCAAAACTTGTATTATTTCCTAAATTCGTTCATAAGAAGTAGTTTTATCTAGCACAAGATAATAATAGATACGAAGCAACCTAATTTTTAAACCTAATTTTCTAAAAAGATATAATTGGTATCATTGAATAAATATTTCTTAAAAGGAACGAAAAGTATTATTTCCTAAATTCGTTCATAATAAGTAGTTTTATCTAGCACAAGATGTATATACGAAGCAAAATACATAAGTATACACGCGGTAGTCACAACTGCAATGTGTAAACAGAGTTTAAACGTAATACATAAGCACTGTGTATCCTACGGCACACTGTGTATCCGTTATTTTGTGTATACATAAATGCTATACTGTGGCTACATTGTGTGAGGCGGACGTTTAACCTTTGTGCATACGTGTTGAACTACAATGTGTAAACGTAGCATATTTACATCGGGGGAATTGTGTCACCCTGTGTCTACATATAATAATGTAAACACATCGTAAATGTGATTTGATGTGCTGTATGGGAACCTATATGACACGTGTCACTGTGACAGTTAGTTTTGACGTAAGAAACGTCAAAGGTTGATGTCGTCCGATCGCGACCAAATTTTGTTGGGAGGCTATGTGAGCGACGCGCGACGGGTGCACACGTTACCAACATGCAAATTTAGATACGACTTTTCGTTTACATCTTCATTAGAGTGGGACTAACGATTTGATATTGAAGAAAAATGTGAGTCAATTTCGGTATAATTGGGGACGGACTATAGGATGACGCTCTCGACGTTTCGAACCGACGCGTCTAAATGAACAAAATCATCAGGATTTTTCTTAATTATGGGTCGATTGGAACCAAACTAGGCACGTGGATAGAGGTATCCGAATAGAGTCATCAGACAGACATACAGACGAAAGTAAGAAGAAGTTTCACTTACACAAATATGCGCACATAGTGCACACACATTTTTTTTAAACTAAGATAATTTTATGACCCACAAATTTAATTGTGGCTCGAACTTTTGGAAAGATTACAGAATAATTTTGGAATTAGTACATTTCTTTGGAAGACTGAATTGTCTGTCGTAGATTGATAGCTTTTATATCGACCTCGGGTTTTTGGCAACCCATGAGAAAAAATCTCGCTTTAGCAAGGTTATCAAAATTTTATCGTCGCGTCGACAAAACTGCTCCCGACGGAAAACTAATATTGAAACAAGCCATTAGGGCTTAAACCTCTCTTATCCTTTGCGGTCGTATTTTCGATTAAGTGTGTACGCGCCTCCTATACATTTCCGCTCGACCAATAGCCGACTTCACCAGGCCCTAGTCAGCAATTTTAACTCTCTAATGTCGTTAATCAAAACCAAAATCGTTTCCAATCTTTGTTTTCGGTGTAAAAACGAACTAAGGGTAATTAATCTTTGATTACATGCTGTTTTACACTTAGAATTTTAAGTATTTGAGGCCACCGTGAGGCATAGAGGTTCAGCTCTTGTCTACTATTCTAGTTTTAAAGTTTGTACTATAAAGCATGTACTTTATTTAACATACGTAAGCTCTTCGATGCGGTTGATAACGACATTTGACTCAAAATACAAAGTGTATGGTACCAAATTAGACTCAGAGGAAATTTCTATCACTAAAGGACTCCGACAGGGTTGCTGTGTATCCCCAACACTATTTAAAATTTATATTGCCAAGGCCCTACATCTATGGAAAAGAAAATGTAACGGAATGGGTATAGAACTAAATGCCTATACACCTTGCAATTTGCAGACGACCAAGCCATAATTGCAAACGACAAAGATGACATGGAATATATGATGCGGAAAATAATTGAAGAATATGCTAAATGGGGTCTCACAGTAAATACAGAAAAAACAAAATACCTTCCAATTAGAGCTAATACAGAAAATCATATTTTAGACAATAATATGGAAATTAGGGCATGTGAAGATTACAGGTACCTGGAATCGATATTTACAGGAGA